GTTTATTTCCCTTTGATCCTTGCACAAATTCAGGTCAATAATGTTGGGTTGAAACAGCCGGCCGCAGCCCGCAAGCCCCTAATCAATAACAACCTCCAAGGCCACAGCTGTACATGCATTGCGTTGTACGTACATTTATAAACAAAATAAATGGAGAGCAACAAGTAAGGCTGTGCTTCTATACTGTAGTATACACTGTTACAAACCATGAGTGCAGTTATATGAGAGCACATTTGTGGATTGTCCTGCATCCACCGTGGTGACGCTGTGTGGGCCGACCTACTTCCAACAGCACCAGGGGTGGGATGGTGGTCGGGGTATATATGTTGACTAGCTCCCCTTACATTGCTTACCTCTGAAGAATGGCATGCTGCAGTAAGAAGTATTTGGGAGCAGGTTGGCAAGAGAGCCAAAGTAAAGATATTGAAGAGATGAGGTGAGCTCAGTGTCAGTCAATTGGTCAAACAAGGTTTATGTGAGCTTTGACCCAGTGATTTGATGGAGTTGATTGAACGTGTGGAGGATTTGGTGCGGTGGCTGGCTACGTGTACTGTATGTTGACTCTTATACCAGATGTCACAGCCTCTCACAGACACAGATCCACAAATCAAGACTCTTGCAACGAGCCTCCTCAGAACCATAACAACTGTGTCAATACAATACCAAATATCCAGAGAATGGCGAGATATGTCCACTGTGGAGCAAACATTTATGTTTTGCACACAAAGACACTTTCATTCTCCCCAGATGAAGCTCCACCGGTTGTATTGGTCAGTCTGAGACCTGTAATACTTTATACACGGGCTCCCAGCAATATGAACACATGTGAGATTCATATATAATAACGCCTGAGAAGTCCCCCTCAATGAAAAACAAGTTTTTAAACATGTCCGTCTAAATGTTCCTTTTATATACATATGATAAAAGACACATTTTGAGCAACATAAGGAAGGTATTTATATGTATTTATTTAATCATGTGCAAAACCCTAATGTTTGTACCATATCTACATATTTAATTTGTAGTTATTGTTGCTATACACACAGGCCATCTGAGACATTACTGCACAGCTTAATGTTCAGTCATGTAGATAGAAAATTATAACAACAACAACTTAACATTTATTAAGTGTATAACTTTCTCTATAACTTAAGTGTAAAAGTTATCAGATATCTGGGATAAACAACTCACACGCTTTGTTGTGCACACGTTCCTCTGCAGACACAGATGAGACCACGAATAAACAAATGAGTTGTGTCTGGAGGAATTTAAATTAAGTCTGTCACTGAGAGTAGTGTCCATTTCAGACACTGAGCAATCTGACTTTGCTGGATCAAAGCATCTGGACACATGAACTTGTTGAACATCTTCTTGTCATCAAAAAAATAAAACTGGATTCTTCAGAAATTTAGAGACTATGAGTGAAATATTTTCTTTCGATTTCCATATTTTGGCTTTTTTGATTGAAACTTTCATTTAGGTAGTTTGATCTTATTGCCCTATTTTGTTTTTAATTTATTTATTCAATGTTTTTGTGTTGTCTTATTGGCTGTTTAATATTTTTATGCATCTCCCCCATTTAGCAGTGCAGCACTATGGTCAACGTCTGTGGATTTTAAATGTGTCTTTACAAATAAATTGCCTTGTCTTTTTTAAACATTTTAATGTTTCAACATGTGTTAATATGTAGTAATTTAAACTTCTGCTTATCATTGTATTATCATTCTTCTTCTTCTTCTTCTTCTTCCTATTAAATAAATATCACATTCATCTTGAACCATATCTGTAAGACGGGGTGAAAGGATCATATTCATACTCACCAAGCTTGCGTTGGTGTTATTACTATCTTCTTCAGGCATGGGCAGGAACACAGCCAGAGCCACACAGTTTGCAAAGATGGTCAATAAGATGATGATCTCAAAGGTTCTGGATGTGGAGGCTCAGGATCATAACAGTAACGAATGAAGAGGACTGGTAAAATCCCAGTTTATCCCAATAAGAAATATTACAAAAGGGTGGGTGGGGGGGGTGCAGTTGACCTAGAAATGATCAGTGGTGTTAATATACAGTAAGAAAATGAAAATGGAAAATGGAAGGATGAGAATTATTTTCAGAAAATAACTGGTCGCTTTCTTTATCTGAGTGACTTGCTCTGTACTTTTTTCTCGGAGTAAAGTAACAACACATTTCCTGCTGACATTGATCAGTGCCTCTAAATGCTGCCTGAAACATCATCCCTAACTGGGCCAGCAAAGCAGTCACAGTTAATGTAATCCTGTCTGCCGTGCTGCTTCATTCTCGTCCATAGGGGGCTCTCTGAGTGAATTCCCCTGCCAGGTCAGCATCATGTCTGTGTGTGATGCCGCGGGACAGCTGCAGAGCCCAAGAATATGACCGAACCATTTTAACTCACACTGCTCACAGGAATAAAAGTGTTATTCTGTGAGGTAGTTATTGATTCTAATGTCTGTGATTTTTCAAATACTCTGAGTAGAACCTCAGGAGTTTTAGTAGATTTCTATAATATTACTGTAATTACAGCACCCATGTCTTGTATTACAGGATCACATACCAATGTGATTAAACTGTGGCAGTAAAAAACGCATGACATGGTTGAGCATATGGACATTTCCCTGTAACTGTTCAGGAACTATTTACACCATAATGATGTGTTAAAATTCAATTCACTGATGAACTCTCAATCTATATTTGATCTATTCAAAGTGTCAACATGTGGAGGTTGTCATTGAAAAAATATGATCGACCAAATCTATTTCGGAAAGGAAATATGTATAATCCAGGAATGGACTTCAGGCTAAAACAGGAAACCCCCTAACATCACTCTGTAGCCTGCCTTGTGTTCATGTTTTAGGCCTTACAGCAATGCAGAGCAACTATTTCCACATTAAATCAGACTGCCCTCTGGTCAGGATTCTAAAGAGCCAACTTGATAAATAATTCTTTGCACGCGAGGAGAAAATACAAACTTGACTTTGACAAAGTGCTGCCAAATACAGAGCAAAAGTGACTTTGCTTCACCTCACTCATCGCAGGTGAACCACACAGCTGATAGTTCACTGCCATGTAGACGCATTATTTCTGTATATACTGGTTGTCAGTGTTCTTGACCACAACACAACAATGTTGTGATAACTGCACAACACCTTGAATACTATATAATCACAGTAATAGTAACATTTGAATAGTATCTCTTGTATAAGACTGAATAAGGATATTGAGTTTAATTTATATATTTTAAATAAGTGTTGACTAAAACAGTCAGCCTGTTGTGAATGATTGTGTGGTCCAGGTATTACTTATGTTATGATGACCTAAATGTGTTGACAGTCATATGATGGGGCCAAAAAGAAAGACTCTATGTAAATCATTAAATACAGAGAGTATGGTTAATGTGGTGGTAAGGGTTATGGTTAGACAAGAAGTGGTTATGGTTAAAGTTAGAATAAGTCCCCAGGAAATGTACCTGTGTGTTTTTGTGTGTTTGTGTGTGTAAGATAAAAAGGATACTTCCACTCTACGATGTTAATGCAGGCCTTGCGGAAGGGATTCTTGAGGTTGAAGAGGAAGAGGGTTCTTGCAGGTCGAGGGTTGCCCCCCGTGGCCTGCAGCTTCTTCAGCTTCTCCCTCTGCTTCCGCTTCAGCTCCTCTTCACTCATGATGTCCGGCTTGGCCGCATCTGCGTTGGCCGCCATCTTGGTGCTTTCACCTGAGATAAAGTCCCACTCCACGAGAAATGAGTCCTCTCACAGAATAATCCCAAAGGTGAGGCACACTATAACTCCCTGCTGCGAGGGCCCGTGGGCTCCTGGGCTGCCGATCCTGTGTGCAGTCCTCCACCGACCTCGCTCCCCCTCTACTCCTCTCCCTCTGACTTTGTCTCCCTCATGCAGAGTCACAGGCCTCTCCTCCTGGCCGAGGGCCTCTGACAGAAAAAGCCCCCCCCCCGAGACAGAAGGCAATAACAGGGGCTCAGGGTGGCTGGAGGAGCAGTTGGTCCTGCAGCAGTTTAAATTTAGACTGTGAACCACTGACAGGCCATGCTTGGGGATGGTTATGAGGGTGGGGTGGGTAAAAGGTGGAGGAAGGGAGTAGATCAGGATCAAAGGGGGTTGGGGCAGAGCAGCAGTGGCAGGCGAGAGCACAAAGGCAAGGAGAGACAGTTTGGGGGGGGTCTTACAGACATCACATAACCTCACCAGCCGCCATTTCAAAACATATTGATACCTCTACATATTGTTCTAGGGTTAAACCTTAAACTGTGAAAAGAAAGTGAGCAGAGAACAGGGAAGAGACAGTGTCTGAATCCACTGTGCAGGTTTAACTCAGTGCTAAAACTCTGACAAGTTTTGGATTAAAGCAAGAAACCAAGAACATGAAATGAGTAAGAGACTACTTATGATGATCCTCTTCAGAAATGTACACATTCACAAGTTTCTTTACATGTTGTTGATTTCTCCATTAAAATATAAAGATCATAGATCGGTTTAATACATGTACTGTATTATGTAATTATAAGAAAATATGGGTTTTATTTAATATATTTGTCAAGAACAATAACTAATCGAGTGTGTCAAATTTTCCTCAAAGGAATTTCTAGTCCACAATTCGACCACAATTTTCTTTCTTGCACAAACGCAAAATGTGTTCACGTCATTAGGATGCAAATTAAATTAAAGTAAATCAAATGATTTATCTCACAGCCTTAAGGAAATTAGTCTGAATGTGGCTTTGGGAATAAAAAGGTTAATGTTGCATAAAACATATTACTGCTGTTTTCACAACAGCTGAAGAAAAAACTGAACAAATGTGGTGAATAATTTGATGATAAACCAGCTTTTCTCATGTTCACTCTAAACAGGTGACCCTCATAATGTGTGCTCTGTTGCCCCCTAGTGCCAATAAACAGTAGCAATGATTCCAGCAGTGGAAACAACCAAAATAATAATTCATCCGAGGCATGAATACAAATCTTACATTCAAGTGTTTTTTATTATTATTTCACATCAAGCCAAACATATAGATATGAGCACTGAAATACTCTGTTGATGCTAGAAATTAATAAATATAATTACAAAACACTGATACCACTGATGTGAAATCATACACAACTCAATCAAAAACACTTGATGAAATAAAGCTTCACAGATAAACAAATAAAATTCAGTTTGTATTAAGCATGATGTAACGTATGTCAGTGTACCTGTCTTATTTAAGCTTCAGTAGTAAAATGTAAAGGAGAACTTACAACATAGTGATGCACATGACGGTCGTTCAAAGACCTCCTGATTCGTACTTCACCGCATTATCAGCAGCTCTACTGGTTCTGGTTATTCTCCACTGGCAGAGAAGTGATTCATTTGAGTTTGAACTTAAAGCTCTGTTAAATGCCCCGTTCTCCATATCTATCCTTGCATTGAAACGTATGTTCCAGCTAGACTGCAAAACAGAGAGTGTAAACGTGGCCTTGTGTTTAACTCAGTGATCAAAAAGTTCAGATTCAGTTAAATTCAATGTAAATGATTAAAGGTAAACAAACTTTTACCCAGTGGATGATATACAGTATGTGCAGATGTTGGGTAGAGCGTACCGTCTGTTACATTTGGCAAGATGAGGAAAAAAACGACCTTTAAGAGCCACATGTGCACTCTGTGTTGTGATACATTTGCTTATACAAGGAGAGAAAGAGCGAAGGAACGTGAAATTACAAATCCCAAAATGTACAAGCCTTTACTCACATTAATAGTGCAAATGATAACAAATACGCCCAGTTAAAATATGAATAAATTATTATTTTAAATTATTATTATTAGTACCAAATTATGACATGTGCGATGCTTGGCAATAGCACAGATGGGGTTCGATTTCTACCTCATCAGCAAAACGGATCATTCAGAAACACAAAGCTTTACCTGTTCAGAGGTAACATCATAATTTATGCTACAAGAAGAAATGCTTAATATAATAATATATCAGCAAGGAGCTGATAAAAAGTACCATGAAGAAGCTTAAAGCTTTTCAGAGTCTGGCTCAACAGACAAGAAAAGTTCTTACTATCAAGACATTCCATATATAGTAGTCGTTAAGAGTGTGCAAAATGTAACTTAGCCTATAGCGTTGCAGCTAATAAATAGAAAATATCTGCTTGTTAGATCAGTGTGTTTAAGCGTTTCTTAGTGAGGAACGTGAGAGTGGAGTTAGTAATAGTACAGCTGGTTCCAGTGCACTGAGCCAGATGAAGGTACCTGTTCTAAACATCTCCGCAGGGTTTAACTAAGCAACTTGTGACGGTCAAAAACAGTCTTGCGTTGTTCCTGGACCTGTTTTTTCCAGCGCTGCTGTGCTCCTTCAACCCGCTCCAGCACTGTGTTCGCTTTCGCCTGGCTGCTGACCACCTGCGGACGCATCTCCTGAACATACGCACAAAAAGAAAAAAAATTAGCTCAAGGTCATCCCATTTAACTGACATTAAAGACATGTGTGTAGTGTGGGTGTATAGAAGGCCACTGTATGAGATTAGGCTGCATCAACTTGTTGCACGCTCTCGTGGCCTTCACATAATAACACAGCATTGAAGGTCCTCTCTAAAGTGACGACAAATGATTCCCTCTAAATCCTGCAGAGGGGCCCTTTGAACAAATATGTGCTGTTTGAGTTGTTACCTCAGAGTCCTCCTCATTGTGCAGGGGCTGGGTGTAGGGGTCATGTTTGCGGATAAGAGGATCAACCAGCAGCAGAAACAGCATGTAGAGCAGTAGTGCACCCACAACAGACAGGTAAATGATGATGGTTACCTGAGATTGACAGGATAAAAAAACATTTAGAAAGACTGACAGAATGTGAAGCTGACACTCTGCCTACACGCTCGCTTGATCTCTGCTCTGCACACTGGCAGCCAATCACAGACTGGGAGAAAGCAACCCAGACTGTCTGTTTACGTCCAATCAGGCAGCTTCCACAAGAAACAAGCAAGTTTGTTGAAACAGTAATGTATGAAAATAGAAGCGGAAGGTACTGTCTGCAAACACTGACACTCCTGCATGTTTTTATTATATTTTATCACATTTTTTCAAGGACAATGATTAAACAGACTTTATAAAGTTTGACATTGTTGTGAGACATGACATTACAGTGAGGACGAAGACACAAAGATGTGGACAAATGTCTTCGGTACCTTGATGGTGTTGCTGCTTCGCTCCTCGTACTTGCACTCACACAGCAGGCAGTACGCCTCGACATCATGACCAGGCACCGGCATAGGCTCCACTACATGAAGGCAGTTACTGTAAAACACACGTGCAGAGACTAGTGACCATGTGTTCAGCCTCAAACACTTCATCCCCCCCCCCCCCAGTAATGAGCGAGCTGTCATGTTTTTGGGTGAAGTAAGCCTTTACACCATATGCTGAGGTTAGGATTTCTCTTACCAATCCTTCTGGGACACATTTCTGTTATATATGTGGCCAGTGATGTTCCTGTATGGAGGGCAGATGCATTTGCAGCGAACATCTTCAAAGTTCTGCAATAAAAGAGGAAATTAAAAAAATGTTCTCACTTCACTGTTTACTTCAACTAAAACACGAACACAACGACCCCCTCAGTGGAGCTCAAACACTCAAGCTAACATTACTTTACATGAGAGGAGACCAGAGGAACACACGGAGGGAAATGGATGATGCAGGTTTTTACCTTCGCCTGCGTGAAATCAACCAGATTCAGCAGAAACACGGTCACGACTGCGACTTTAACAAAGGTCCAGGATCCAGCTCCACCACACGACATCTTCCCAAAGACAAGAGCTCTGCAGCACGGCTCTGCCACAACACAACAGACAGCCTGGTTCACACGCACATCACAGACATCAACCGACCACCAATCACCTGTACTGCGATAACAGAGGAGACAGACTGACTTTAGATCAGCTAGAGAATGAGTAACTTACGGTGTGTTAGGAGCTGAAGCTTTAGATTTGTCTTTTTTCGTTGCACTGTTGTTTTGGAACGCAAATTAATTGTCAGCCTCCTTCTTCCGGGTTTCGTCACATTCGATGGCAATGCGCAACCCCCTACACTGCCCCTGATTGGTTCGGATTTGAGCAAGAAGAGTAATCATTGGGTAGGATTAGAGATCAGTTTCACTGTGAGCCAATCAGAGGGTAAGGGCGGGTCTTCTTCCAACTCTGGTGCAGGAAACAAATATTCCTGCAGCGACACCTACTGGACGGAAATATAAAATCATCATCATGATTACATTGGTTTAGTGTTACTCTGCTTCAGGACATAAATCTATCTATCTATCTATCTATCTATCTATCTATCTATCTATCTATCTATCTATCTGTCTGTCTGTCTATCTGTCTGTCTGTCTGTCTGTCTGTCTGTCTGTCTGTCT